AACTAAGGCTGATGGTTTGCATTACCGTCAGCCTTGGGTGATAGGAATCCAAGAGGAGCTGGAAAAGCTTACTAAACGGGTGGAGGCGGCAGAGAAGGTGATGATGGGGGTGTTGGGACTAAGCAAAAAGATTGAGGGTGTTGAGGTAAGTTATTTACTTTCTAATCTCTTTCATCTTTGTTAGTCAATACTTTTGTACTTATATAGAATTGACTAACACAAATGTCTTTGCTTGTTCCATGTTCAGGAAGATGTCAAGATCCTCTCTGCGCAAGTTTATGACCTCAGTGTGCAAGTGGCAACCCTGGAGAAGGTCTCCTTCGATTGACAAGCAAAGGTTAGCCTCAGTAGTTAAGTAGATAATTAATTATAGAACTACAAGCAAAGGTTACCTTTGCTTTACCTTTACTATAACTAGTTACCTTTATTAAAACTAGAACTATTTTACTATAACTATAACTAGTTAACTTTATTAAAACTAGAACTAGAAAACTATAACTATAACTAGTTAACTAGATAATTTTATTAAAACTAGAACTAGAAAACTATAACTACATAATTTTATTAAAACTAAAACTAGAAACTTTAATTAGAACTACAAGTGCTTTTCAATTAAAGCACTCGGTGGTTGGTTGTTTGGTTGCTGTGATTTGACTCCTCTAATGAATGTTATTGTCCATAGTTAATGTTTGGTAGGTTAAAACTAGTTTAAAAAGATCAATAGATTACCCTAAAAAACGACACAAACATCCAAACCAAAAAAAAAAACAAATCAATGGATCCTATCTACCTCAACACTCCCGGGTTTGTTAACCTGTTAGCCTCGCAGAGCAGTCATCCAATAGATGTAGACTCTGCTGAGGCACCTGCTAACTCTCCCGGGGGAGGTAAACCACCAGTGAGGAGAGCGTGGTCGGTGAAAGAGGACTTGGTGTTGATCAGCGCATGGTTGAACACCTCGAAGGATCCTATAGTTAGCAATGAACAAAAAAAAGGATCGTTTTGGAAAAGAATTGAAGAGTACTTCAATTCTAGTCCTCAACTAAGTGGCTCCACTCCAAGAGAGTGGTCTCAATGTAAGCAGAGGTGGGGGAGGGTTAATGCAGAGGTCTGCCGGTTCGTGGGATGCCATGAAGCGGCTCTGAAGAAGCAACCCAGTGGGACAAACCCTGAAAATGATGTCATGCAAACCGCGCATGACATCTACACCAATGACTACAAAGGTAAGTTCGGTCTTGAACACTGCTGGAGGGCGCTTAGGTTCGATCAGAAGTGGAGATCACACTGTGAGCCCAAGGAGAAAAGTAAGGAAGGGGTTCCAGAGGTGGTGATTGACGAGGAAGACATTAGGCCTCCTGGTGTAAAGGCTAGCAAAGCAGCCAAACGCCAGAAGCCAAACGAAGTGGCTTTTGATCGAATTCAAACCATCCTTGCTCATAAAAAAACCCTATCCAAGGAAAAGATACTTGAGCGTCTATTAGCCAAAGCCGTAGACACACTTACTGATGCTGAAGTGGCTCTAAAGGATAAACTAGTCTCTGAAATGCTTTGATTTGGTTAGCTAATTTAGATGTTTTTACTGTAATGCTTTGATTTGGATATGTTGTTAACTTTTAATCTGTTTTCTTCTCTTTTGCAGGTCACAGGTCACGGATTGGAAGCTGTTCAAGGATGCCTCTCTTTCTCTAGGTCACAGGTCACGGATTGTACTATGTAGTAACTAGGAATGTACTAGTGTAGCATTTTGTTTGCTTGCTACACTTCTATCACGGATGTAAAATAGATGCCTCTCTTTGTTGCTTTTGTCACGGATGTTTAACTTTAGCAGAGGAAGTGTACTCTGTTGCTTTTGTATTGATGCTATCCCTTGTATAATAAAATGTACCATTATCTATTAAACTTTCTCTATATAAACAACATACCACAACATACTTCTCTCTTCGAACAAGAACAATCAACATACTTCTCTTCTCTATTTCTCTCTTGATCCATATGTAATTTAAAGAACAACAACAACATACTTCTCTTCTCTTCTCTTGATCATTCTCACCGACCACAACATCTCCAACCAAAGTATTCTCTTCTCTTGATCATTCTCACCGACCAACAACATCTCCAACCAAAGTATTCTCTTCTCTTGATCATTCTCACCGACCAACAACATCTCCAACAACATCTCTAACCAAAGTAAGACAAAACTAGATTAATCTTGATCCATATACTCATTGTGTATGATCTATTATATATACTAGATTAATCTTTTCAAGACCAAACACAAAGATCGAACATTATATTATGCATTTATATACTCATTGTGTATGATCAAATAAAACAATTTTAGGAAAATGTCCCTTTATAATCTTATTTATATACTAGACTTTTAAAACAATTTTAGGAAAATGTCCCTTTATAATCTTATTTATATACTAGACTTTTAAAACAATTTTAGGAAAATGTCTCTTTATAATCTTATTTATATACTAGACTTTTAAAACAATTTTAGGAAAATGTCCCTTTATAATCTTATTTATATACTAGACTTTTAAAACAATTTTAGGAAAATGTCCCTTTATAATCTTATTTATATACTAGACTTTTAAAACAATTTTTTCGTTAATCTTATTTATATACTCATTGTGTATGATCAAATAAAACAATTTTTAAGACCATTGTCCCTTTTTCGTTTTAGGAAAATGTCTTGCTCATCAAGTGATGAAGTAGATGAAGCTTTAGAAGAAATGGTCGACGAAGTAGTTGATAATTACATCGATTCAATGCTTCTTGCTGACCCAACCAAGGATACGAGACAAGCTTATATCGAAAGATATCGGGAACACGGACACAATCAACTATGGAACGATTATTTCACGGAAAATCCTACATACCCACCACCATTGTTTAGGCGGCGTTTCCGAATGAACAAACCATTGTTCCTTCGTATTGTCGAACGCCTAAACAGTGAAGTTCAATACTTTCAGCAAAGAAGAAATGCTACCGGGAGGTACGGTCTATCGGCACTTCAAAAGTGTACAGCATGTATACGTATGCTGGCATATGGTCAATCGGGAGATACATATGACGAATATCTTCGAATGGGTGAGAGTACATCACGTTTATGTTTGGAAAGTTTCACTGATGCGATAATACAATTGTTTGGAGATGAGTATCTACGACGACCTACACCTGAAGATCTTCAACGATTACTCGATGTGGGAGAGGTACGAGGGTTTCCAGGGATGATAGGCAGCATTGACTGTATGCATTGGAAGTGGAAAAACTGTCCAACGGCTTGGAAAGGTCAGTACACCCGTGGTTCAGGAAAGCCGACAATTGTCTTGGAAGCTGTGGCATCACAAGATCTATGGATATGGCACGCATTTTTCGGATTACCAGGTACCCTTAATGATATAAATGTTCTTGATCGGTCACCAGTTTTTGATGACATTTTACAAGGCCGAGCACCTAAGGTTAAATTCAAGGTCAACAACCACACTTACCGTATGCCCTACTATCTGACCGACGGAATTTATCCAAATTGGTCAACATTTATCCAATCCATCCCACTTCCTCAAGGTCCTAAAGCAGAGCTATTTGCTCAACGGCAAGAATCTACCAGAAAGGATGTCGAACGGGCTTTTGGAGTATTGCAATCGAGGTTTGCAATTGTTAAAAACCCAGCTCTACTATGGGACAAGGAAAAAATAGGAAAGATAATGAGAACTTGTGTCATATTGCACAATATGATAGTAGAAAACGAACGCCACGGATACGCTCAAATTGATACATCTGAGTTCGAGTCAGGAGAGACAAGTAGAGGTTCCACGGTGGAAAGAAGAACGAGTATTCATGTCGATAGTATGTTACCCATTCGCAATGAAGTTAGAGATTCGGAGAAACATCATCGTTTGAAAGCTGATTTAATCGAAAATATATGGCAAAAATTTGGTAATGAAGATTAATAATGTTTGTATGTTCATGAATTCTCAATGTTGAATAATGTTTTTTAAAAATAAATTATTAGTGTTATCAGTTTTTAATGTTGAATAAAAATTTAATTTCCAATAAAAAAATATTATTTTATTCCTAAGAACCCTTATTTAAGGTTCACTAATGCAGGAAAACATTAGATAGAGGTTCATCACTGTTTACGGACCCACACAAAAATATTAAAAAAATCTCATGAACCCCTTCAAGGGGTTCACTAATGCGGATGGTCTTAGTTAACAATGACAAGCCTAGATACATGATGGACTGGACAGCTGACAAATTGACATACCAGCCTCCACAACTGTACACCGATCCGAAGCATGGAATTATCATCACCAACAATAAAAATACAAGTTCATCACTCCACGAAAAGACATGTGCACCACTTGTGAACATGAAGATGTCTTATGCAAAACTTAAACAAGTTTCACATTTTTGTATCGTGAATGATACCCAAAGCTACTTCACCCTGCAGCTTGGTTCAACATTTTGGACTGATGGGTTTACTAATACAAAGGAAGTTTGTGGAACTTGTTGTGTTTATGGAGCTTTCATAAATGTTTTGCCTCTGAATAATGCGAAAATGTTTAAACGAGCTAATAACAAGAAGCCCGAGTCAAATGGTCCAGTTGTATTGGCCCAAATTCAAACGTTTCCACACGTATGCACATCTCTCTCGTGGTCAATTTCACACTTGCAAGTTTTTCTTCCGTCAATAGATCTACCTTAGCTGTATGTTCCACAATCTCACATTTCATGAAATTGATATTAATCATGGCTTCGTATGTGTATTATATACAAAACAGTTACAGAAACTGCCAAGCGTCCAAAAATTATAGATTATGATATGTTATTATAATAACAAGACGATCCAGATGAAATAAAGCAAAGTGGATATTCCATACGTCTAAGATTCCTCTAAATCTCAGTTTTCTCCTTATTCAGTTTCTTACTCTTTATTTTATACGCAAAAAAAAACCTATGTAGGTGCATATATAATAATAAACCAAAACAAGACATTGAAGTACAGAAGTAGAGAGGAAGGATCAAGATGGAGATGTTTGTGAAGAAAGAGTACTTAGATTTGGTTCTTGTCCCATTTGGGTTAATCATAGTTTTTTCTTACCATCTATTTCTTCTCTATAGAATCCTTTATTTTCCTTACCACACCATTATCGGTTTCATGAACATCGATAAATCAATTTGGGTCGAACGTATCATGCAGGCAAGTCCTCCTCTACTAAAATCTATTGTTATTTGCATTATTTCCGAAAATTTATTGTTATTATTTATGTTTTAATTGTTATATAGGCCAGAAAAGATGAATTGGGTAGTGCTCTAACTGTTCTTTCGAGCAGCATATCAGCTTCAACGTTCATGGCATCCACAGCTTTAACACTGAGTTCACTTATCGGCGCGTGGATCGGGAGCTCACCGGTGAATATGACCGTTTTTACGGGACATTTCGTCTATGGAGACACAAGTTCAATCACAATGGTCATCAAATACACCTCTCTTCTCGTGTGTTTTCTAGTCGCCTTCTGTTGTTTTGTTCAGTCCACGAGATGTTTCCTACATGCAAACTATCTCATCACCACTCCCGGCGAAGATATTCCACCTGAGTTGGTGAAGAGAGCTGTTTTGAGAGGTGGTAACTTTTGGTCACTTGGTCTTAGGGCTATCTACTTAGCTCTTAATCTATTGTTGTGGCTTTTTGGACCGATACCGATGTTTATCAACTCGGTTCTGATGGTTGTTTGTTTGTATTATCTCGACACTAACTCGGTGGTTCAGCCTGTTTTCCACCGGACTTTCGCGGCGGAGCAAATTGTCAAGAGGATGAGAGGAGTTTTGCCCGAACCGTTGACTTATAGATATAACTGAAAACATAATTATTTGATCAATTTGTCAACTTGCGAATTTCCAACATATTATATTTTCAATTAGTATTTGTTTACTAAATTTTGATTATAATACTTTAATTATGAATAATTCGTAATCAATTATTGCATGAGATTTGGGGAAGCCGTACGGAGCATGTTTTGGGAGGGTTTCTTCTTCTGTGATTTTTAATTATTTACACGAGAAAGCATTAATGGAAAAAAATGTGAGCTGTTTATTTTATTTCTTGGAAGCAAGCAACTACTTAGACATCTCTCTAACTTTGAAAACAATTATTACTGGGTTGGACTAATATAGTATGCACCTTAGTCCACCTCATACATACGTATTTGTTCTTATCAATCACATGATTAATTGAATATTGCATGTTAAATATGATTAATTGATATTTGCTCATGCATATTCACGTAACTTTTTAATATAAAAGTGGTGTAGTTATAAAAAAATAAAGTGGTGACTCTGGAGAGTTTTAGACTTTCGACTCCTTCATTTTAAAATAAAATAGAGCCTAAACACAACTTTTTGTTTTAGCACTAGCCACCATTCCTTTGATTCTTTCATCTAAGTTGATATGGTTTTCTAAAAAGTATAGTATTAGACAAATAGTTTGGTTAGGTTTTTATTTTATTTATAGGTTGTTTGTAAATAATGTGACAACACATGAAAGAAAACAGGACGGTTTAATACAGTTTGGTGCAAGTTCGGATTTTATTTACAATCAAACATAATTTATAATTAATAAAAAAATTGAGTTAAGATTAGTTTATTATTTCTTTTCAGTTATCTAGATATAGAAATAAGGTTCACAAAAAGATATACAAATAAACCATACAAAACGTAATTTGGTTTTCTGGTTGATTATTTTGGTTCAGTTTGATCAGACTATACTGGTTTATCCGGTTTAAACATATTAACAGTTGACCTCTGGTATACATAAAGTAAACGGTCTAATAGATTAATAATAAATTTGAACATTATCTTACAGAAAATTGGCAAAAATATATAACCTTTCCAAAACCACAAGACAGTACAGAACAAACGTTTGTCTCGAAAAAACTAAAGGAGAATAATCTAACTAAAGCGCAAAGAAGAGAACACCAATTAAATCAAGAAAAGCAAAACAATAGGCACTGGAAGCAGGATTGATCGAGAAAGCGTAACCGGCATATATGATTGGGGTTGAAAGAAGAACCACGAACACACACCACAGTCCAAGCTAGTTTTGTTTTTGTTTTATTTGAACACACTAAGGCCCTCTTCGTATCGCGCCACCCCACTTGCAGTTAAGATCATCTTCGTATACGTATCGTGCGATCTATAATTTGTGACATGCGATTAAACATGCGACCTATGATTAAAATCATGTTGTCGCGCGACTAAAATTATCTTAATTTCTAATTGTTATTTTCTCAAGCGATTTGAAATTAATTCCTACAATTAGCATAAAAACGAAAATAACGTGTGACATGCGACCTACAATCAGTCGCATGTCGCAGATTGCACGACATAAAAACAATTGCAACTTACGATCGTATTAACTATAGTAACTGGGCCTAGGCTTATATCCTTAATAAATAAAACTGGGCTTGAAAAATACAGCAGGGCCCATAAAACCTCATTAATCGTTGTCTCTCTCCTCTCTCTCTCTCACTCGAACGCATTTTAAACTCTCTCTTCGTCTCTTCCTTATTAAAAAATTTCAGATTCTAAGATTTTCGAAAATTCCGCAGAGATGAGAGGTTTCTTCACTCGAGGAGGAACCAAAGATCCTCCGTCACCTCGATCACACCCTACAATTTCCCCATCATCGTCATCCCCAGCCACCGGACCACCGAGACCGATTCGTCTAGTGTACTGCGACGAGAAAGGAAAGTTCCGGATGGACCCAGAAGCAGTCTCTACTCTGAAACTCGTCAAGGAGCCCATCGGCGTTGTCTCTGTTTGCGGCAGAGCTCGTCAAGGCAAGAGCTTTATCCTCAATCAGGTAAAAGTTCAGATTTTTATTAATTTTGGAAAAAAAAATTAGGGTTTTGATTTTTCTGGAATTGATTTTGTGTGTGTAGCTTCTTGGACGGAGTAATGGGTTTCAAGTAGCGTCGACACATAAGCCGTGTACTAAAGGGCTTTGGTTGTGGAGTTCTCCTATTAAACGAACTGCTCTTGATGGTTCTGAGTATAATCTTTTGTTGTTGGATAGTGAAGGCATCGATGCTTATGACCAGACAGTAAGTTAACAAATGAGAAAGTTTATTTCTTTTGGTTTTATTAACATGTTTTTTGATTCGGTTTTTGTTGCAATGCTGCAGGGTACTTATAGCACTCAGATATTCTCGTTAGCTGTTCTTTTGTCAAGCATGTTCGTGTACAATCAGGTTTGTTTTTGGACTTGTGGATTTTGTATGGCTTGGATGGGATGTTTGATTTGGGTTAGATGTTGTGTGTTTCAGATGGGAGGTATTGATGAAGCTTCGCTTGATCGTCTTTCTCTTGTTACTCAAATGACTAAGCATATCCGTGTTAAGGCGTCTGGAGGGACGAGTTCACGTTCTGAACTTGCACAGTTTTCTCCCATCTTTGTCTGGCTCCTTAGGGTAATCCTCTCTGCTATTTTTTTTTTGATGTTGATGCTATGGCTTACAGATGTATATGTGTTAACTTTGATATTTAACTTGCAGGACTTTTATTTGGACCTAGTTGAAGATAACCGCAAGATTACTCCGCGTGACTATTTAGAAATTGCGTTACGGCCGGTTCAAGGAAGTGGAGGAGATATTGGTGCTAAGAATGAGGTAATAGCTGCATCTGCTTAATTTTTCTTTTGCTATGCTTATTTAGATAGTTATCACTCTGGGTAAAGCTGGTGATCAAGTGTAATTTAATTGAGTCAATGTTGATGAGAACAATGTTTTTGCAGATCCGAGATTCGATCCGTGCACTTTTTCCGGACCGAGAATGTTTTCCCCTTGTAAGGCCTCTGACAAATGAGAAGGACCTTCAGAGACTTGATCAAATTCCGGTTAGTATCATTCATTGCGTGCTCCTTCACCTCTTATGCCACGCTGAAAGGTTTGGATGTTTGTTAATGCTTGGTCACATAATATTATGTGTGTTTATGCAGTTGGAAGATTTGAGACCCGAGTTTGGTGCTGGCTTGGATGCATTGACCAAGTTTGTTTTTGAAAAGACGAGACCCAAGCAGTTAGGGGGTGTTGTGATGACTGGTCCTATTCTTGTTGGTATTACAGAGTCTTATCTGGATGCGTTGAATAATGGTGCCGTGCCAACAATAACCTCATCTTGGCAGGTTTGATATCTCTTGCCTCTGTGGATGTCTAATACCTTTAAAGTCAAAAGCCATTCTTTTTTCATAAATGGTTAATAAACCTGAGACTTGAAGTATTCGACTGGATATGGCCGGGTTTACTTTGACATAATGTGAATATAAATGGCAAACATATTTTAATTGTTGCGTTCATACATTTGCGTACTTCAAACCATCACGGGGATCAGTTGTTTCGTCAGATACTTCATAAATTGCTTATATTGATTTATGTTCTTGTAGAGTGTGGAAGAAACTGAGTGTCGAAGAGCATATGATTCTGGCATAGAAGCCTATATGGCAGCCTTCAACCAATCAAAAGCTCCTGAAGAAGTAAGTACTTTCCGTTTAGCCTTTGTAATATATGACTATGACCTATTCCATTTCTGCTACATAGGGTGCACTGAGGGAAGAACATGAAGAAGCAGTTCAAAAAGCCTTGGCTATGTTTAACGCTAATGCTGTAGGGGCTGGTTTAGCAAGAAAAAAATACGAGGATCTTCTCCATAAAGACTTGAAGAAAAAATTTGAGGTAATAAACTCTAAGACAGTGTTGATCGGTCATAATTACTTTTCTCAAGTTTCACGTAATATGCTTCTCGCTTTGTTATGCTGATAATAGACATTCTTTTGTTGTTTAGGATTACAAAAAGAATGCATTCATGGAGGCAGATTTGCGATGCACAAGTGCTATCCAAAGTATGGAAAAACAGCTTAGAGCTGCTTGTCATGCCTCTAATGCAAATATGGATAATGTTGTCAAGGTTGGTTTCTTATGGATATATATTTTGATTAGATGTACTTTGGATGGAGGTTCGCCATGGTTTAGTTTGTTGCCGATTGTTTTTTTCTTTGTATTTAATGATGGTTTGTGTGTCAGGTTTTAGAAGCTCGTTTGTCAGACTATGAAGCATCATGCCATGGCCCAGGGAAATGGCAGAAACTTTCTGTGTTCTTGCAGCAAAGGTACTACTACTTCTAGTCTCCCATTGAATTTGATTGATTCTGTTAGAGGTTTGTTCATGTATTTTTCCCATTTTGCAGCTTGGAAGGACCGATATATGATCTCACGAAAAGGCTTATAGATAATATCGCCATAGAGAAGAACTCACTTGCGGTGCAATTCCGTTCTGTTGAAGAGGCGATGAAACATCTAAAGCAGCAGTTGAACGATAGCGAGAAATACAAGCTGGAATACCAGAAACGTTATGATGAATCCAACATCGACAAGAAGAAGCTGGAAGATGTCTACAGAGAGCGCATAACTAAACTACAGGGGGAGAACAGGTCGCTGAATGAACGGTGCTCCGCTTTGGTTAAAACTGTGGAATCTAAACAAGAAGAAATCAAGGAATGGCAAAGAAAGTACGACCAGTTTGTTTTAAAACAGAAAGCTGTTGAAGATCAGCTCAAATCTGATACGGAAGTGCTTAGGACACGAAGTACTACTTCTGAAGCTAGGCTTGCTGCAGCTAGAGAGCACGCTAAATCCGCTCAAGAGGAGACGGAGGAATGGAAAAGGAAGTATGATTATGCTGTGGGAGAGGCGAGATCTGCTCTTCAGAAGGCTGCTTCAGTGCAAGAACGTTCAGGCAAGGAAACACAATCGAGGGAAGATGCTCTGAGGGAGGAGTTTACTTTAATTTTAGTTGAGAAGGTATTTTCTTTGTCCCATTCGTAAGAGACTACTTTAAGTTTTGTAATCATCAGTATATCATCAATACAAGTGCTGTTGATAAATTTCAGGATGAAGAAATTAAGGAGAAGGCAACAAAAATTGAGAAGGCGGAGCAGTCTCTAACTGTTCTAAGATCAGAGTTGAAGGTGAGCTTTTCCAATTGATAGTGTTGATTCTGTCTTGTTAAGTTGGTGGAATCAGTTGAACATCTTACTTTTGGTCCGTATCTTTTGCAGGCGGCAGAGTTGAAAATCAAAACCTTTGACGTGGAAACATCATCACTGAAACTAGAGTTAAGAGAAATGATTGAAAGGTTAGATAGTGCTAACACAAAGGCTCTAGCATACGAAAAGGAAGCAAACAAGTTGGAACAGGAGAAACTGCGTCTGGAGCAAAAGTACCGATCTGACTTTGAAAGATTCGATGAAGTCCAAGAGAGATGCAAAACAGCTGAGATGGAAGCTAAAAGAGCTACTGAACTGGCGGACAAAGCTCGAACCGATGCCGTCACTTCCCACAAGGAGAAAAGTGAGAGTCAGAGATTGGCAATGGAGAGACTTACTCAGATCGAGCGAGCTGAGAGACATGCCGAAAACTTAGAGAGGCAGAAAAACGATTTGGAAGATGAACTGCACAGGCTCCGTGTATCTGAGATGGAGGCTGTCTCCAAGGTTACAGTCTTGGAAGCAAGAGTGGGAGAACGAGAGAAAGAGATCGAGTTGTTGTTAAAGGAAACGAACGAGCAGAGAGCGCATAACGTGAAGTCACTGGAGAAGCTTTTGGATGAAGAGCGTAAGACTCATATAGCTGCAAACCGAAGAGCTGAAGCTCTTTCTCTCGAGTTGCAAGCAGCTCAGGCAACCGTTGATAATCTTCAGCAAGAGTTAGCTCAAGCTAGGTTGAAAGAAACTGCGCTTGACAACAAAATCAGAGCTGGGAGTTCTACACGTGGGAAACGGACTAGAGTCGATGATGTTGTTGATATGGACACTGAAGAAGCAAGTGATAGAATCTTGAAACGGTCTAGGAGCGCAAGAGGAGATGATAATGGTGCTTATGAGGATGGTGTTTCGGTTTCTAGAGGTGATGAGGACGAGGAGGAAGCAGAAGATTACAAGAAGCTAACTGTGCAGAATCTTAGGCATGAACTGACCAAGTATGATTACGGGCATTTGATACTGAACAAAGGGCATCAGAACAAGAAAGAGATTCTTGCTTTGTATGAAACTTATGTTCTTCCCAAGAAGGAGGAAGAGAGAAAGAGACAGAGGGAAGCTACTTCTTAGGACAAAACTGACTCTAATTATTGTCAATCATGAGTAAGTTGTGTATTGATTCTGAGGCTTTAGGTTAATTAATGAGTTTGTCTTTGTGTTTGGTATTTAATTTGTGTGGGGCTTGAGTCGGTTTGGTATTGACTTGATCTATAGACCATTTTTTTCTTCAGAATTAAAGGTGATTGATTTGTTAGTTTTAGTTCGACCGTTTGCATTGGATTTTACTCGTCAGTTCTCAGTCAACTATATTAACAATTGGGTTGAAAACATTAGGTATTGAATTTTCAGCTTAATGACAAAGCTTCTCTATATTTGCCTTGTATGATCTGATGTGACCGACAGAATAAATTTGGTTACTTGGATGTTGGTTTTGATGTTTCGTAGTTAGTATAAAATGATTTGTTGAAATTGTTATTTGATAACGGTTCTTTGCCGTGATATAAATTCGCGGAAAGCCATTATTATTTTTCTACAGCTTAAAAATTTCGTAGTTAAGGAAAATGATTTTACTTGGACGATTATCTTAAAGGTGGTATGTTATCTTCTTCCATTTTTATTTTTATTTTTGCTAACAAACATCATCTTTTCAAAAGATCTTTGTTTAAATTCTTTGTAATTGTCATTTAATATATTCAACAAATGTCATTCAGATAGTTTACCTTCGAAATTCGTGCATATTTTTTACTATTTTTACTACGTATTTCTTTCATCTTATTTTAATTATCATTTTTTACACATAGATTAAGAAAACATTTAATTTTATATATTATTTTTAATAAAAACACAGTTAACTATACACCTAATTACATTTTAACCAATAAAAAAAATATATAAAGTTAATAAATTTAAACTATAAAAAGATACTTATTGTAAAACGAAAAAATTTCTCTACAAAGACATATAAAAGTGAAACGGAGAAAGTACTAAATTTCGATTATACTTCAAACGTTAATACAAAGATTAGGAATGGACGATGAATGAAGATATCTTTGGCTTAATTATTGGGTTGTAGCTTTTTCTTGATTAGGAGTCTGTGAGTGTGTCATGGTGTTAGGTTATTTGTGTGGGACTTGAGTCGGTTTTGTCTGTACTTTTCTCCTTTTTAGATTTCTTTTAAGTTGTTCGACCGATTGCTTTAAATTTTACTCTTCAAACCACATTGACTAGTTTGGTTTCACGGAATGATTCTACGGTTTTTCCTTAATGTACTTCATGATAAGATGTCGATCTTCTTCTATACTTGACTTCAGCTAAATGATGTGGCGCCGAGAGTATCAATTTAGTTATCTAGATGACTATAGTTAAGTGAAATATATTACTTTTGCACCAAAAAAACTATATTACATATATGGACTCGCGGTTAATTTGGTCAATGATTGTTACATATATGTGTAGAAGGCTTAGAACGGTTATTAATTATTTTACATTTTATATGTTTGATATTAATTATTTTATTAGCATTGAAATGGTTTTTTCCAATTTTTTTTAATCATCTTTGGTTTCTGAAAAAGTCACTAAGCAGAACACATTTTCAGGTTACGTTTTCACTTTACAGAATAACACCTTTGTTTTATAATATCTTAGCTTTGAAATTGTAATGCTATATAAGCAGAACATAGTTTGGTTACATTTTCACTCTACAGAATAACATCTTTGTTATATAACAATTCAACTGGGAACCAAATTATAAATGGTTCTCAGCAACTTACAGTCTACGTTACTTTACAAACATTACAGTTTACAAATACTATATAAATTCAGCAGTAGTTACAAAAATGATGATTCTAAAACTAAGCAGTTAAAACTCTACATTAACTCTCATGTAAACTTACATGAATCAAAACTGAATTACACCCAAAAGAAATGAAATAAAAATCTACCAAACATAAATCACCAAAAAAGAACAAAACTGACTTGTTCCACAAGGTGTAACATTAGGTCCACCGTCCAATTTTGACGAAAATCTACCTTTCAAGTCTCGTCAAAGTATCAGACCCGATTACGTTTAAAATATTCTTTCGTACACACCTGCAACATTTTTAATTATAAATCCTCGTAATCTATTATCGTTTCGAACAAAGCACGCAAATATATTCTAATACAAATAACACCAGAATATAAGAATCATAAAATAGATTAATCCGAATAAAATCATCAATATCGATGAATTAAATCATATAAAAACCTATTAAAACACCTAATTTATACGTTAATGTACACCGCGTGATATATAATCATTTACAGAACTTTTTAATCTTCTTCGTAAAAAACCCCCCAAAAACTTTTCGAATACTCAAACAACCCCACATTCCCTCTCCAAACAATTCAAAATCGCCGCCACCTGAGAAACCGTCGGCCGGCTCCTCCTCGAATTCCCGACGCAAGCCAAAGCAACCTTCGCTAACCTAATCACCAAACACTTGACCTCACCCCCAACCACCACTCTCGGATCCAAAAGCTCACCGAATCTCTTCTCCTTAATCAACGGCATCGCCCACTTCACGATCAAACCGTTTTCACTCCTCCTCCCGCTCAAAATCTCGAGCAAAACGACGCCGAATCCATACACATCGCTCTCTCTACAGTATCCCTCTTGAGAAATCTCCGAGTCCTCGCGCGGGATCAAAAACGCGAATCCGTAATCAGATACCTTCGCCATGAAGGCATCATCCAAGAGTATATTCGATGACGTCACTCGTCCGTGGACGATTCTAGGGTTTACGACGTCGTGTAGATACTCCAAACCTCTCGCGGCTCCCGCCGCGACTTTAAAACGTCTCCGCCAATCAAATTCGAGATTTGAATCTCCGTGTAACTGATCGGTTAAGCTTTTTGCTTCTCCGATGAACTCGGTGACGACGATTCTCTCGCCGGGGGCTTCGGAGAAGCCGATGATCGAGACGACGTTGGGGTGGAGAGAGGAAGAGAGAGTTTTCATAACCGTCGAGAAACCGGAACCCGGTTTACTTAAAACTAAACCGGGATGGATTCTTTTGACCGCGACGAGGCTTTTGTGAGTTGGGATAACCGCAGCGTAAACCGTACCTAACCGACCGCTCCCGATGATTCGTCGCGGGTTGAAACCGTCGGTTGCTGAATCTATTTCGGTTAAGGGGTAGGATAGACCGGCCGGTTTGGTTTCGGGAAGGAGTGATTCGGAGGAGGTCCGGATCGGTTTCTTTCTGCATAGTAAGAAGAGGAATATGATGAGGAGGAGGAGAGAGAGGGAGAGGAGAGACAGAACAGAAACGTATGCTATTTTTTCAGATTTGTCCATTTTGATTATTATTTAGAAAAAGTCATTCATGATTATTATGGCTATGGGGTTTGCGTGTGTTAGTTATATATATACGTGAAAATAATATGATAAAATAAAGGTCAAAAGAGACAAAGACAGGTATAATTTTTCTAGATGGTCTTTTACATGGTAAGTATTCTGATTTTTTTTTTAATTTTAAACATCCTACTTCTTTGTTTTTTTTATTTACACGATCAGAAAAATTATAAAGATGCATTAAATTGTCATAAATATGAATATATGATGCATAAATTAACTCATGAAATTATACGTCATAGTAATCTTACAAATATAGTTGGTGTGCCACCGAATCACTATCCCAAATTAAACTCGTATATGATCAATAAATTTATAGTTCAATAGGTTTGGTATAAAATGAAACTTTTTTAAAAATAAATTAACTGTGAATTGATAAAAATAAGAGACTACAGTTAGCCAAACGTTAGCAACAGCAACAAAAACACGAGTAGATTATTATATGTTTTTGCACGTAAGTTTAATATCATGTGTTATATCCGTTTATAAAACCAAGAGGAGATCTTGACCCAAAAGAAGATAATCAAAATGCACTTTGGACACCAAGTAGAAACATATATCTTTTTTTCTCAAAAGAGGTAAAGACATGACAACTTTTAAAGGAATAATCAGAACTTAACACATAGAGATTTGTTCACCAAAAAAAAAAAACACACAGAGATTACACCCTTTTTTTAACACAAATAGAGATTACACCTTGGAAGCCAACTTCAGTAAGTACATAGATTACACCTTGGAAGCCAACTTCAGTAAGTACATAGTACTAGATGGCTATCCTTGTGGTGTATGTCTTCCCTACATAGACATATACAGTAAAAGCAATTGTCACAACATATAGACTACATTTCTAAGAAAACCCAAATAATTGGTCTCTAATTTTCTATTTGGTTATAAGAAGCTAGCCAGTTATATTTCATGATAAATCCAAATACTAAGACTTTTTAAACTTATTCTTTTCTTTCTCTGGACTTACACTTGTTAAAAAGGAATCAATGTAGCTATAATGTGAAACAAAACTTAACATAAATATAAATTACTATCAAACAAATGTTAAAAAAAAAAAAAAACACAAAGCTAGTAAAAAAAACAAACGATATTGTTTAGGAACCTAGAGAAAGAGGGTGAGGCCAGTAAGGGAACTCAGAGGACCTTAACGGTACACACCCTTTATTGTGAAACTTAGTGTAAAAGAAAATATTGCAACATCTGGTGGTGATGTCGTAAACGCCAAAGTTATATCTCGAAAAATAGATGCAATGAGCTCTGAGACCAGGATGCGAGCTAGCTGGGACACAAAATGGTTCACCTTGTCAAAGAAAGATACAAAAATCTCCAATGTCTTCTGTGTAGGACAAATTTTTATTATGTTCATTATAAGGACAATCCTCTGCTCTAAACACCATGAACTGTCTTGTTATGTTGGTAACTTGTTCAAGCCCTTCGTTGTTTATCTCAAGCTGGTCCTTATAGAACCTGAAACACACATGAATACATGTATTTTTATCTGTTGTGCAATAGGAAATCAACCCAATAATAATCACCCACAAGGCCACGAGAAAAACATTAGGCTATAACCTCTAAATTCTCAGAGATAATCTACATAAACATAGATCGTAAATTTATTTTATTTTTTAAAGATTGTTATTAAAATATTTACTAAATGGCCTATAAGAAGAAGAAAAAGAAAAGGGATATATACCATCTGACGAAGAATTGTTTGCCTGAAGCTGCCTCCACAAAGTGGACAGTTGTGGTAGACGAATTCATCTCATCCACATCTTGATCAAAATGATCTTCAGCAAAATAGTTAGGAAACATACTAACGAACTCAGGATGGTCATTCTCCTTGGAGTTAGGATCCAATGAGTACAAGTAATCTGATCCAGGAGTTGGAACGTAGAACCTTTGATCTTTCTTAGAAAACATGAGACTCGAGGGCGTGTTTATAAACCGAGGCATGGCTTTTACAAGCAGGCTTGTAAAGCTTAATCTGAGATCCATAGAACTTGATAGCCACAACCCAATCTTCATTGTCTAGGTCAGGATGAGAAGACATGGCAATGTTTTGGATCACGGAACGAGGAAGTCGAACCCTCACGGTCTTTGATGTCTCCTCAGAGGGTTTGTAATAGATGTAGAGACGCACGTTATTGGTACTTGTGAAATATTCTGTAACGCCCCGACCGACCACGGCTAATGAGTCACCCGCGTCCGCTATCTCAGCCCGTGGTCCCATCCCGTTCCAACGGCCGGTCCGTTAATTTTCCAAGACTCTAGAGTCATGTTTACTGACCCTGCAATCACCACTAGACATTTCCCCGTGCTTTGACCTCACTTACACGGTATCGCAAATCACTTCCCGATAGGTCACACATCCTTAAACTAATCCAGCTCAAGCACGCTTAATTCTTGAGTTCTCTCTAGATGTGCTCCCGAAAAGGTAAATGCACTTTGGTGACATAGGTAGTTAAATCAATTCTCTTAAACCTTTCTATATATCACCACTCGGGATGTTACATGTTTCTTCTCCAACATGCCAATTTTGAGTGCACCATTGTAATTATAACCTAGAGACATCACGTTACATACATCATCCATGATTTCGTAAGTTTTGATTTCGATGTGTTTTTGCTCCTTGGATGAGCGTTTCCGTATGGTTATGTGACCGTCTGAAGAATCTTTTCCAGAATCTGCGAGTTTAAGCATGTAGTTTAGTAACATATACGGGTAGGTTGGCGTAGACGAGCACCACCGTAACACGTTATTGTTGTGTCTCTGCCATGTGTAGTTTTATTAGTACACTGACCTAATTTACAAAAAGAAACATTTTGTATTGACAAAGACGAAAGAAAAGCTTACGAGGATGTTTCTGCAGACAAGGGGCTTCCCGACTCGGCTGAGAAGTTGAGACATTTCTTGAAATATTTTATACTATCTTGTGTTTGTTTCCTCAAAGTTCTCAATTGTATAAGAAGCCTTGGTGTTCAAGTTTACACTAAACACAATATTAAGTGAATAATATTTTTAAAGGAAATAAAAATGTTTGGACACCAAGTTCAAGCATATCTAAGGTTGTAACAAATTTAGGGAGATATTAACACCACAAGAACATACGAAATCAAATCGCTCAAAAAAAAAACAAATCAAAACGCTCCTTGTACATTTGTTTACATTTTGAAAAGAAATGATTCCACTATTTTGTACTATTCTAATATTTATCAAATTTTTACGTTTAAAAAAAAGAAAGTTAACTACATACATGTACAACTAAAATATTAAAAATAATTATAAAATCAAATGCAATTAATTTATTAAAATTACTTCTCTCTCCACCTAAATTCATATACAGATTTTGTCTGTCATTAAAAACCCATCTGAGAACATTCTCTTCTTTTCACAATCACACATTAAAAAAGGTCTCATAACCTAACCAAAAGACAAAATCAAGAATCTTTAATACTCTTGTGCAACACCATGTACAAAATCATTGAGAGTACAAGAGGAAGAAAGATGACAATCCGCTTAGGCGCCCTAACACCAAAACTATCAACGCAGCATCCTTCTTCAACAATCGTCTCAAGCTTTGGCAAGTTTGAGAATTGTTGCTGTTGTTTCTTGTGAGATACAATAAGCCTTGGTGATACCTCTCCCCATGTTTGAACAAACCTCATTCCCTTGGCCATTTTTTTCTTGTTTAGTGTTTAGTTTGTTTGTTTGCGGGTGCAGAGGAAGATTGAAAGATGATTTTGACTTACTGAATGAAAGATTTTCCAATGAGAGAAATTAAGAGGTGCTTATGAAGAGGAGGAGACAAATGGTGAGAGGTTAAATAGAGAGACTGAAGGTGACAAATAGGGAAAATTAGAAGAAAACATGAATGTTTTTCGGGATACCAATGATGCATTCATTCTCTAACATACTTTTGTTAGATTTGCTAACTTTAGAAAACTCTAAAAACAGGTGAGTTCCCAAATAAACCCATCACATTAGAGGCTCAAGACTCCAAAAAGGGTCAAACAATCATCTTTAGAACCCAAAAACCGAACGGTCATAGAGAAAACAGAAGAACCTCATCAGTTTTCTATAACTACAGGCTCACACAATGGTTCTATACTCTCCCTATATCTATATGATCACATATACAGGCTCTTGAGTATGGTATATATGAACCTGGAATCTGAATATGTTAGAGAAAGAATGTAAACAGTTTCTCAACTCGAAAGGCTTTTCTTGTTCCAAGAATTGTCTCCATAAGGCCTGAGATTGAAAATTACACATAAATAAGCGAGTGAAATTAAAAACAAGGTTGTCTACAAGAGATGTATCATTATACCTCGGATTTTTCAAATGGAGCAACATGAAGATGATCGATATGCTTATGGAAGAGGCACCAACAACAATATATGTGATGCCGAGGAAATCATTTCTTCCTCCTAACCAACTTGACGTGGAGATAATAAGCTTCTTCTGCCCACTGAAGCTATAAGTGTTGTAATTGTTCATCAAATTCACCACAACAACGTTCCCTGGTTCCAAGTCCTCTTCGATTCTTCCGTATAGTTTCCTGAAGCTTAGTAGAGCAGATGCTCGCATCCACACTATGAAGTCCTCTTGATCACTTAGCTGCAAAGGAGAGAATATCTCTTAAGCTCAAAATATGATTCAAGATGTTTATGTAGTGGTTGAGAATGCATACTGGAACTTTTGGATCCAACTTAGCTCCACCAATCAAAGTCCCGTTCTGGAAATTGAAAGGATAGACATCCTTTCCAAACTTGTGTTCACGGTCACTCTTCCAGGCAATATTACTCCTGCTCACCTTCAGCTTCGCGCTTTCACGAGCAAAGGTAAATGTATCATTGAACATACTCCAAGCTATTAACCCACAAGGGACAATGGGGAGACCATTAGATGACTCCTCGGGTTCACAAGCACTTGTGTGGCTATACTCTCGTCCATGTAACAGTTGTTGATCACTTCTACTCTTTACATACCTGAAAACACAATAATCATCTTGCAAATGATGAACTTTCTCATCATCAGTTTAACTGAGAGTAACATAAGGGATCTTGCTGTATACCGGCGGTGGTTTTGATAGTAGTTATCAAGCTGGTAGTAGATAAAAATGGGAGCTTTCATATACTTTTGCACCTACAATAATGCATACAAAATTAAAGATACCCTTTTCACAGGAATCAATAGAAAGGAATTACCTTTAAGTAACGAGTACAGTTCTTTGAGACCGATGAATCAGTAATGTAAGAGAGTTTGTTGGTTTTATATTCTTCAGGAACACACTCAACATCATACCGATCTACAATTTCAATAGCCTGCCATTGAAAAGAAAATACTTTAAAAGTTTGATCCACAACATACAAGCTCAGAGATCAAATTTTGGACTTTTACATCACGAGAAGCACGGAGAGTAACGAAACCAATGGGGATGAAAACGAAACCCATTAACATAAACACTGTTATAACCTGCAAGACGAAGCGAGTATAATAAATTTTCAAAGCAATGAAGCTAATGGATCTTTCTATCAAACAATCAAAGAAGAACAGGTTACATGAATAACTAACCGATGTTGGAGTTAAGACAGGCTTACAAGCTGGGAGTTTCTGCTGCTTAAACTGATACAAAGCTGACATAAACACACAGACACAATGATTCATTGTTCAGTTTTAAAAAGCTTTGTCAATTGATGAAATGAATCTACAAAACTTCAACGATCGATACCAAACCGTAAAACGAAACTGATACAGAGAAGTCAAACACTGAGAGTGATTCAATGTTGATTAAACGAAGCTTAAAATGGTCAAACAATCGGCACCAAATCGAAGATTCTAAGCCCTAATCTAATCCGTGAGAACTTAAACTATAAAAAAAAAAGAGAGAGAGGAGATTTAATAAATCAATCACACCTTTGGATCGCGTTGAACGTAGGAAGGAAGATGATTGAGGAGGAGGAGGAGGAGAACGATTCATCGAAGTGTTGGATCCTTCCACTTCCATCATTATCTCTCTCTCTCCACTTCACCGATACATAGCAATTACTCACTCCCTTCGCGATTCTGATTACAAATCGGCGGCGGCTCAGCACGGTGGATCGAGAATCGCGTGGTCGGTCTTCTCTGGGTTTTCAATACGTAGAGAGAGAGAGAGAGAGAGAGAGAGAGAGAGAGAGAGTAGATTCAACTGTCTCTCGACCTTTTTGCTTTCGCGTCTTTTGAATTTATGAAATAATAGTTTTTTTTTCGGCAAAGTTATTGCATTGTTAATTTTCTTGTATATATGTTTTAATCTCTAACATAATATTTTTCGGAATCCACTAAAACCAGTATAAAATTGTGATTGCGCGTTAAATATCCGTTCGGATATTTTTACGGATAGGGTATTTCGAGTCTTTGTAATCTGGTTTGAGTTCTATTATTTGTTTTTTTTTTTTATCACTGGATAATTATGTATTATAAGTTATGAGAAATATTCTATACATAATATTACAGTCGATAATTCTATATGTCTGATGTGGATTCACATTTGACTGTATTAACATGAGCCGTCTATGAGATCCCTTTCTAAGGATACATCTTGCGTAATGCTGAATATCTCTTATAAATTTTTTTTTCAATCTGTATAATTCGTCATTTATCTTCTCCGGAAATTGAAACTCTCTTGTTGTAGAAATTTTGTAGCCTGGAATTCAATTAACCACTAAGATACGGTGCTTCCACAATGTTATTTGTTATTTATTTTTATTTTTTTGGTCAAAGATAGGGCTCTGTTATTTTGAATTACTTTTAATAAAAATTTAATATCTCATATTTTTTGAGAATGAAAAAAACTGTATAACTTTTTACTAATTAATAATAGAGTAAAAAATAGTTAATAATGAAGAAGATGTAGCAGAATTCAGAACAAATAATTAATTAGTTTTTATCAAAAAAACCAAATAATTAATTAGTTTGGAGAAAATATAACAAAACAAAGTTTGGTTCTTGACCCAAATAAAGTAAAGTTTGGATACTTTTCCATAAGGAACCGCAATATACTATAACAAGTTGTAAAAGATTCCCACCAAAAGAGTTAATGGGTAGCATAATAAATAAGATTTAAAGGACTAGTACGATAATTTTTTTATTGCAAAGCACATGCACCAGACGACTTGAAGAGTTGAAGTCAATGAAAGAAAGCATCAAGATCTAAAATTAAGAAGAAGAACCTCCAAAGTTAACCATTTGAACAGAAAGAGATGAGCTCTTTCAGCGTCCTTATGATAAACCACTGATATCTTTGTTACAACATACTTTTTTTTTTCTTTTTCTTGGTTTCTACTGTTAAGAGATGGAAGTAAGATGTTTGGGAGAAGATGAAGCATGGGACTTATTCCGCCAGAAAGTTGGTGAAATAACCTTAGAAAGTCACCCTGACATCCCAGCGCTAGCAAGAATAGTCGTTGAAAGATGCAGAGGCTCACCACTAGCAGTAAACGTTCTTGCCGCAGTAATGGCAGGCAAGAACTCGGTGCAAGAATGGCGGTATGCAATAGACTCTTTGACTTTATCCGCGGCTAAGTTTTCAGGTACGGAAGATGAGATTCTCCCGGTTCTGAAGGTTAGCTACGATAACATAAAGGATGAGAGAGTGAAACAGTGTTTCCAATATTGTGCTTTATTCAAAAAGGGTGGCCATATATGGAGAAATGATTTGGTAGAGTATTGGGTAGATGAAGGAATCATAGATGGGAGAGAAGATAGATACAAAGCTGAAGAGGAGTGTTATGGGATAGTAAGATACCTTGTTAATGCTTGTCTATTAGTTGAGCATAAATATGGTAACACAGTGACTATGCCTAGCCAGGTTCATGAACTAGCCTTGTGGGTAGCATCAAATCTTGGGGAGGAGAAAGAAAACTTTATTGTGAAACCCAATGAAAAACTTGGTGAAATTCCAAAGGTCAAGAACTGGGGAGAAGTGAGTAGGATGTCATTGTCGGAAAATGAGATCAAGAAGATTAGTTGTAGTCCAGTTTGTCCTAAGCTTAGAACACTGTTACTCGGGTTTAATAATCTTGAGAAGATCTCAAGCGGGTTCTTTATGTGTATGCCTAATCTTGTGGTTTTGGATCTAACTACAAACATTGGCCTCAGAGAGTTACCTGATGGGATTTCTAGGCTGGTCTCTTTACAGTATCTCAACTTGTCACATACTGATATAAAGCAACTGCCTATAGCAAGTTTAAGAGAGTTGAAAAGGCTTCAACACCTGAACCTTGAGTTTACAGGGTTCCTCAAAGAAATTGCTGGGATATCAAGTTTATCAAACTTGCAAGTTCTGAAACTGTATGCTTCATTTGATTTAGATATCAATCTGGTGGAGGAACTAGAGCTTCTGGAACATTTAAAAGTCTTAACAGTCTCTGTAGGTGATGCCTATGTCTGGGAACAGTTGATGAGTAATCCAAGATTAGCTAGTTGCGCTCGCAATGTGTATTTTTACGAGTGTGAAGCAGGAGAAACTGGCATCATATCGCTTGCAGAGACTTCTAGTAGGCTTGAAGACCTTACAATATATGAGTCCAACATAAGGGAGATAAAGATTGATCAGAGAGGCAAAATGTGCAACTTCATGTATCTGGTCAAAGTGGAGATAAGTGAATGCCAAGGTCTTCAAGACTTAACGTGGTTGCTCTTTGCTCCGAATCTTGGTTGGCTAGATGTAAGAGAATCACCGCAAATAGAAGAAATAATAAGTAAAGAGAAAGCTGCCAGGTTTATGGATGGTGAAGCTGATGAGAGTATACTACCATTTCTCAAGTTGAAGTACCTTGATTTAGCTTGTTTGGAACAACTGAGTAGCATCTACTGGAGTGCTTTGTCTTTTCCATGCCTAAAGAAAATCAGTGTTTTTGGCTGTCCGAATCTGTGGAAACTACCTCTTGGTTCCAGCAGTGCTAATGGCTGTAACCTTGTCATTCATGGTGAGGAAGAGTGGATAGAGGAGCTTCAATGGGATGAGGAAGGTATTAAGGAACGGTTCACCCTCAAAGGTCGAAAGGTGAGTTTCTTATGGGTATAGCAGCCAATGCTGAATACATAGGTAGGCAGTAAGTAGAAGTTTTGTAAAGGGCTAGGTGAGTTTCTTATGGGTATAGCAGCCAATGCTGAATACATAGGTAGGCAGTAAGTAGAAGTTTTGTAAAGGGCTAGCATTTAAGAGTTTCTTAGGGTGGGTTTTTTTAACGAAATTAATATTTTGTTTCTTAATTTTTAACTAAAAAAACTAAAAACATGCTCTAAAGCAAATTATTTGGGGTCTAGTCGAGATTTAAACCTTAACAAATTATTGATTTAATATTTATATAAATATTAAAATATATTTTTTTTTTTAGTTTAATCATAAAATTATCTTGATGAATTATCAAAATTAAATATATAAACCAAAAAATTAGATAAATTTGTGAATTTGTATTAATAATATTGCTTAATTTAACAGATTTCAATTTAGATAGAGTTTTAAACGATTTAAACCGGCTTTAGAATTGTATAAACCAATGTGAATTGTATAAATCATATTTTATGAAAATTGTTTCGGTTAGGACCGAATTGCCACTTAGGTGTGGGTTAGAAGCAGCTTATAATGATTCTTAGAACCATGTGTATAACCTTATCTAGGCTTATGAGTCTATTGTTTGATTTTGACATCTTGGAAACCTTTTGCAGAGTGAGCCTGTTACTGCTTATCCACAAAACCAGTCAGAGTTAGAGATGTTGAGGAAGAGAGTAGTGGATCTTGAAGAAGAGAACAGAACAATCAAACAACGGCTTGAGAGGATAGAGAGATTTTTTTGGCAGCAACAACAGTTGCAGCAGCTACGTATGTCTCCACAAAGCAGCATCCCGACAATGGCGCATCCACAAGGACCGCAACTAGCACGCATGCTTCCACCACAAACTGTTATTCACCAACAGAGGCAAACCCAAACAACACTTCCAGACATGCCATTAAAGTATGTTTTTATATCATCCTTGTCAACATTTAGGTACTATCTTTTTATTCAAACAATAGCTACTCTAATATAAAAGAAAAACGCCTGAACATTTAGGTAAACATTCTTTTAGGTAATATTATCGCATTTGATGATCATAGTGCTTCTTAACTCTGCAGATCATAATGCTAAATACTATGGAGTTTCAGCCAAGTTGTGGAGGGTAAGTACTACTGAGTAAGTTAATAATGATTTTCCTTTATTTTTGCTTACTATTTGGATAATAGTTTCAATCTAAATATGTTTTGTTTTTTCACTAGGACAGGAGTCTCATAGCAGTTTGAGAAATCGAAGAAGTTGAAGGCAATGTTTTTCAAGGAGTGGATAGCACACCAGATTCTTGACTATGCACAAGCCAAGCCAGAGAAAATTCAAGATCAGTTTCAAACTTTCATGAAATAAGAAGACACTTTAAGTGCTCTCTGAAACTACTATATTCATTTCCCTTAAATGTTGTTTTTTTTTGGTAAAACCCTTAAATGTTGTTATCTCTTTAAATTATTTTGTTTCGAAATTCTAACAAGTCTAGACCAATTTTTTAAAAATCGATTGGATAAAATAGTTTCTCTCGTATCTGAATAAATACAATATTTATTTAGCTGGGGAAAAAAAATACAATATTTGTTTAAAAAAAATACAATACAGAGTCGCAAAACGAACAACACTAAAATAATAATAAAAATTTTACTTGCTTAAAATAGCTATAGACGACATGAAGCCCAAACACTATATGTCTGGGCCGAAAGAAGAAACATACCAGAGAATCAAACATTATGACAATTATACCCTCGAATAAACCTGCTATTTTACCTTTGTTGCCACCCTTAAACCTTTCCCTTTACCGTCCGCCTCGCTTTCTCTTGTCACTCACTGATCTGATTCTTCCTTGTGCTACTAAACTGTTTTGTTTTGTCTCCATCAACAGTTCGTAAGTTATCATTTTTCCAGATCCATATGTCTCTCTGTCGATAAGATTATTATTTTGTTTTATTTTAGTATTGACTTAAAAAAAAGTAATAGAAACTTTTGTGATTGTAGAAATGGCGGCAGCTTTGGCTTCCAGATTATCCCGTGGTAAGAGACTACCTTATTTAGGTTGTGTTGTATCTATGTTCTAATGCAACATTTCGATCCTGGTCAACTGTGGGATTTTGAAGTAAATTAAATTAAATTAAATATTTTTCCAATTCTGATGAGTTTTTTGATCTTGATGGATAACTTTGGATATTCTACAAGAGTAACATCAAAAAATTTGAAATAGGTTAATCTAGTTTAATTGTATGCAACTGGAACGAAGTCTAAAATTTGGTTACTATACTATAGTTATGGTGTGGAAATAAGTAGTTTAACCCTTTTTAATTGTGTTGAAAGACAGATTTAATAATCTACAAGAGTAACATCGAAAGTTTTGAAATAGGTTGATCTAGTTTTATTATTTGCAATTGGGACAAGGTCTAAAATTCCTGTGGATAGGTTACTAATAGTGTGGAAATAAGTAGTTTACCCCTTTATAATTGTTTGAAAGACAGATTTAATAATCTACAAGAGTAAAATCGAAAGTTTTGAAATATAATCTATTTTAATTGTGTGCAATTGGGACGATGTCAAAAGTTCGTGTAGATCGGTTTTATACTATAGTTACTGTGTGGAAATAAGTCGTATACCTCTTTTTAATTGTTTTAAGAGACAGATTTAATATTTATTTTTTTTGTATTTGATGGTCTTATCAATTCATGTTCAAAATCTGTTTTGTGTTGTTGTCTGATTTGATATATACACTAATAATGAGCAGGTCGTTCATTGCTTGGAGGTCTTAAGAATGATTTCTCCGGATTGATGAATACCTCCAGTGGAATGATGAATGAAACTAGCCTCTCTCAGGTCAGATAACAATAACCTTTTTAAAGTATATTATTGCTTCCTTATGTAATGTCATGTTTATTTAAATCTTTTTTTTTGTGTGTTTTGGGGTGGAAGCAGCAACAACAGCGAAGGACGTTCATTCAAATGGGGACAATTCTCAAAGTCGTGGACAACTCAGGAGCCAAGAAAGTGATGTGTATTCAAGCGCTAAAGAGTAAGAAAGGAGCTAGGCTTGGGGACACGATAGTTGCTTCGGTGAAAGAAGCGATGCCAAACGGTAAAGTAAAGAAAGGAGCGGTTGTGTATGGTGTGGTTGTGCGTGCTGCTATGCAGAGAGGTCGTGTTGATGGAAGCGAAGTTAGGTTTGATGATAACGCTGTTGTTCTTGTTGATAATAAAGACAAGAAGACTAAAACTGATCGGCAGCCGATTGGGACAAGAGTGTTTGGTCCTGTTCCTCATGAGCTTCGTAAGAAGAAACATCTCAAGATTCTTGCGTTGGCTCAACACATTGCTTGAGACAATTCTAGTGTTATCTTTTTTAATGTTATGTAAACTCTCGACAATAATTGTTTTTTTTTTTTGGTTAAGTCTTCGCACTATTTTTTTTGTTCCAAGGAATTTATAGGTTCAAGAACTAAAATATCACAAGTATAAGTTCGAAATAATTCAGCGTGGTTTTGATTAATTTTTATTATGTTACAAATGTTCACTAATCAGTGACACCTTCTCCTTACGTCTATATTTCCAAATTCACTCCTTTGTTTTGGTTAATTATCCTTTTCAAGTTCGCATTTTTTTAAGTTATTTATGGAAGATAGTATTTTCTCATTTCTCATTTTTCTCTTAAATTAGTTTACCATTAAAAATGATCTTAGATTAAACAAGTATTAACTTTTTGGTCTTATAAGGGCTTAACTTTAGGACTAGTTTATATAATTATTCTCATAGTTATAATATGTCAATACATTTTAATGCAACATACGATTAAGATTCTAATTGGTGACCATGTTAAAAACATTAAGAATGAATAAGAAAAAAAACGTAGAAGAATCTCTATAATATTATTTGAGAAGTCAATTTCATATGTGGCGCGCTCACGTTGACTCTTACACTGATTGATTACTATGATACCCTTGATGAATATATTTAAATAGTATATTTAAATAATATTATTAATTTTATGTTTAGTTTCCTTTTTAAAACATTCCAAATACCTTTTATAATAGAAAAGAAAAAAAATTATTAAATTTAAAAACGAAAATATATGTTTATATAATATGATTTCATTAAAAAGGAAAGTTCACAAAATAGTAATATACTATCAAAATAGTAAAATAGTATTATTAATTTTGTATTTAGTTTCCTTTTTAAAAATTTCCAACTAAAATTTATAATAGAAAAAACATCTATAAAATTTAAAAGGAAAAATTAA